CTCCTCGTAGATGTTGGCGTCGCTGAAGACCCTCCAGGGCTTCGACACCAGCCACGGCAACTCTGCCGGCTCCTTGCCATCATGAGAAGAGGCGAGGCGGCGAGGCGGCGAGGCCCGATCCTCTCCGCTGACTTTCCCTCGAGGTCGGTTCTCGGCTTCTGCAGGCACAAACGTAGCAGAGAACCGTTGATTCAACTCTAGGGATGTTGGTGGTTTGTCGCTGTTACAGGCCGTCAACTGCAATCCAGAATGGCCCTCTGATGGATCTCCGGAGTCTCTTCGCTTGTTCAACGCCTATGACCCCAGTATATAATAAATCCCACTTTCTCTCCCCTGCCCGGTCTTCTAACCAAACTTCCATCTCCCGGGTGAACTATATACAGTAGCAACCTGAAATAAGTGTTTTCTTAAAAAGGAAACTTCCTCATGGGCCCCCAAATTTGATTGATCAGTCCAAACCAAAACCTGTGTGAGGTCACTGCTTCATCAGACAAATCCCCCGCACCTTGACCTTGGCAAAGTCGCCCTGGGAGTCCGGGGACACAGACATGCGCCACAGGTTCTTGTCCGAGTTGAAGGAGATGAAGGTCTTCCTAGGCTGGGCAGCTCTGGTGAATGCCCTGTGGCGCGCAACTGGGCTACCACAGCTTGCATGTGAATCTGTGCTTGGGGGGAGACACGCAAATTTCCGACCATGAAATGCAGGGGCATCCGAACTCGGCAGCACATGCGAACTCGCTAAGACAACCGACACCGCATCGGCAGATAGCTGCTTTGTCTCCTGCTGGACTGAACGCCGCTTGCTGATGATACATGCTTGTGCACGATGGCGTGAGCAATTTGGGAAATGCACAAATTCTGGATGGAAGCACATCCTTGAAAGCAACACACCATTCTCCCCAGTTTCCTCAGTTTCCTCCGTATCCTCAACACCTCTTAACACCCGGCATCCCCAGCATCCCGAGGCAGCATCCCCATCGCCCTCACCATCCAGAAAGCAAAGCGCGCGTGTCTGAGCAACATTGCCGCGCCCGGGATGAAGACTTTTCAACGGCCAACCGTCTGCATCCCATTGTATTCTGGGGCGACTAGTAACTAATATCATACACCAACCTGAAATATGGGACCAGCAAGAAATCGGGTTTCTTTGGGCCCTATTTGGGGGCCCTATTTGGGCCCAGCCATATTTCAATGGCCCGGTGAGGCCTTAAGTTGGGAGGGGTTGTTTCTGCCCGTTTTGACCTCCCCATACAGACCATGGCCATCCAGGCCATCCAGGCCAGCGTGACTGGGGCCGGGACTTCTCGCAGTCCGCCTTCTCGAAGACGGGGCGCCCGCCCTTCAGGTCCTGACTCCCCGACGTCATGGAAGGAAATTTGCCAAACGCCCAGAAAGAACTGATGTCCCCATTCCTGTGGCAGGCTTCTGAGACGAGGGGAATTGGGGTATGTGCCTTGAAGAACCTTACAAAGAAACACTATTCAGAGATTTAGCCTCATTTTACCAGTGGTTTGGGCCTGTGGATTCCATCTTATGCAGACTCCTCCGTCACTTCGTTCCCTTGCGCACTTGCCAACCCTCTCGATTCCCAAAGGGCAGGCCCAGTGACTATGGATCAAAACTGAGAGCAAGCAAGCCAGCCAGCCAGCCAACCAACCAACGGACCAACCGCCCAGCGGACCAGCCAGCCAGCAAACCAACCAAGTCACCAGTCATGGCAACAACAAGGCGGCGCTTTCATAGAAAACTCACACGGTGGCAAGGCCTGCAACTCGGTGTAGAGGCCGTGAATGCGCTGCGCCCTCAGATGGACGAACCGGTCGTGCACGAAACCAAAGTATGTGGGCCCCCCACAATAGGCATGGGAAAGCACCCAATGCCACTCCCAACTTGACCATAGACTTCTGAATGCTGTTAATCCTCTGCAATTGTCTACACACATCAAGAAAACACCATGCGCCGGGCGATTGCTAGACAAAAACATGCTTTCTTTGGATGGATTTGCTTTGTCCTCCCTAGCAGGGCAGGTGTGGAAGAAAAGAACCGGATACTACAAGTTTGCGACTGGTTTCCGAAAGCAAACAAAACGCAGCGGTAGCAGTAAGTAAATATGTGTTTAGATCAAAGCTGATTTGTTCCAACAATTATCCATTTACGCTAGCGGAGTGGTGAGGCAACACACTGCAATTCAACCTGAGTCTATGTACTGCAAAAGCGTACTTGGGGCGGTGCTTGCTTGCTTGCTAAGGTACGGCTGTCGAATTGTTCGAGCTGGAGCTACACAATTACTCTTTGCATGCTAAGCTAACTTGATGTTCGCATCGGAGCTGCGAAAGCGTACTGCGCGTAGCACACGGGTGCTTCGAAGCACCCATGGTGTTCCAAAGGGCGCTCTAAAGCTCACTTTGCAAAATGTGACGTCTGCCCTCAAAAGGCACGCCTGACTCAAAAGGTACCTTGGAGGTACACATCCGTGCAGGTAGAAAAATCTCCAGCCTCCTTGTGTTACTTTGCTTATGTTGATGGGAGATCTGCCTCTAATTGAGTCTTTTGTTGGCCCCATCTGAATCCCCCCTTCTCACCAGGGTCAATGAGCATCAACTGCTGACTCGTAGCTCATCAAAGTACGGTCACACCATCTAAGTATACAAATAACAAAGCAGCCGTAGTCAAACGTGAGCGCCTTCGGTCTCAAATGCCAAAATTGAAACGCGTCAAGAAAGTCAGCGGACAAAACACGTCGGGCCGATATTTCACATGTATGCTCCCCTGTGCGTGCTGCGTGCCTTGCCTGGCCTCAATATGATACGTGGTCGTGACTATAGTCTTTCTGGCATGCGTCTTTTGGCAGCTGTTTGGTTGATATACATGTCACTTCTGTATGCACGTACATGACGAACATGAACCGTTTCCAACCAGAATGATCGCCAAAAACACAACCGGAATTACAACGAGAACCACCATCTGCGATGTTGGCTCGCCTAGTGTGCCCTTTGCACCATGTTGGCACTTGCCCCGGTTGACTAAGCATGGACCAACGGCAAAACAAGGTCAAAGGGTCGATTCCTTTTGGCCAATTGAGATTTCTCGTGACACCAGTGGATCTGGTGGCTCCTTTGCACAGCTCTTTTTAAATTAAACTAAACTGACTTTTTCCCACAAAACCCAACTCTTTTTGCTCACAGCCAATCCAGGTTGGGACATCACTTGTGGGCCACTCCTTTCCGCGTCGACGTTGGGTGCCCAGCATCCGCTTGGCGGGATCCCGGCCGTAGACCAGCACGCCGCGCGGCCGGGGTCTGGACCTGAGCGATTGTCTAGGCCGCTTCGGCCGCTTTGTGCTTGAAGCTTCGGCCGTTCATAGTACTGGTTGTGATCTACAGCCGTGGTTGGCATTCTGAGCTATGGGTCCCGATTTTCAGGGGAGCACTGGGGAATCAACCATCCTTTGGCCCGGGCGGTGCATTTCTTGCCTCGTTGCGAAGGTTCCGTCCGGGATGACCATAGCTACCCACTTACGATCCTGGTGGTCAGTATTATCCAGGGTGCCGCTGAGCACTCGTACCAAAACAGGACTCTGAAAGAGTACCAAACGGATGTAAGAAGAGATGAAATCCACAAACAGCAGCGCATGCAAGCGACTTTCTGGATAGAACTTGTCGTGCAAGTATGCCCAGCAACACGTAAGAAAGTTCTCCTCAAAAAATATTCTTTCTGACAACCCAGCTCGCGACAAAGTAGTATCCCACCGCCATTAGCATGCCTAAAAAGCGGGCAAAGGTCGGGCCAAACACAATCTTGGGAAAGATATGGCTTTTGTAAAATATCATCGTAATAATGCACAATCCAAATGAGAGTGCATTCCAGTAGTCATAAATGCCAGTATGTCAGGGGCAACAGCCTTTAAAACAAATACGAGACAGATTTCCACGGCAAGTGGTCCCTGAAAAAACCAAAGAGTGCAGCCTGGGCAACGGACCCAGAGTTTCTCCTCGGCCCGCCAGCGGCGACATCGGCCAGCCTGCACATGTCAACACCGGATATGTCGGTGTGTCAAAACTAGGGACCCTTTTGGGACGGATCTTTAAACGGAACCAAGACGACGCAAACCATTCAGAATGAGCCGCTCCTTTGAACACAAACCCATAGGCGTCATAGGAGCCACAATCTTCATTGTCCCCAGCAAAATCCCGCATTTTTGTGCAACCCTCAGTTTCCAATAGTCAGTTGAGGAGTGCGCGTGTCCCTTGCGGCGAATGACCGTTGCGCAATATCTGTTGTGCTAAGCCCCCACAGGCCGCCTTCCGTGATTCCAACCTTGTATTCAACCACTGAACAAATCACTCTTAAATCACATGCGCATGAGCTTGTACTGGAAAGGACATGAGGAAATACAGGAGTCTTCTAATGTTTCTCAAAAGCCACTTCCGTTGGCTGTCAGATATGCTCAGCAGTTCTAGGTTCAATAATCGTGATGGGAACCCAGTTGATTGGTGAACCTCTGATTCATTGGGCGCTCAACGGCTTAGAAAGACCCCCATAATGCGCCAGGTTGATCAGTTGCACGTGAATGAAGAAGGTCTGGCCAGCTACAGTTCCCAGATTATATCTGTTTGTGAGAAAATTTAGTGAGTCCTTCATGCCCCTTACAAATGGACGATGGACTACCGGCAATTTCGAAAAATCTCAGATCCCGATACCCAGCTGCCAGCACAACATCGCCCTTGGCGACACAAACATGCCAGCAGCACAGCTCGAATGCCATGTTCAGGCTGACCGATTTCCTGCGAACAGCAACGCGTGGACGGCCATTCTGCTGACAAACATCGCCCAATCACAGGCGCGTCGCCCTCTGTTGACAACACTGTATGTCATGAGCAGCGCATTTGATCCCTGGGCCTCTTGTGCAGTCCGCACAATCCTCCCTGCAGCAAAGCATTCGCATGTCCAAACCATGAGATCAGGAGCAGTTCCTTCGCAGTGTCTAGTTGTCGTCATGTTGTCTTCTGAGGGCGATTGACAACGTGCAGGCTGTCTCAGAATTGGACTAGTGAGGGGTCCAAACGGCGTCCATCTCGTGGCTTCCCTTTGCACCAGGAGTGTCCATTCTTTTTAGGGGTCAGAAGCCATCAACATGC